AAATTAGTCATACTTTGTTACTTTGTTACTGATCTCTGGTATTTTTTTTATGTTATTAGATTTATATACTGCCCTCCCCAGTGGGCTCAGGGCAGTGCACAACAGTTAAACATACAATTAAAACAATATTAAAATAATGATTTACACATAAAATCATGAAATACCGTATCATTATAAAAGTTGTCAGATGACTAGTCAGAAACAGGTGGACAATTGGCCTGAAAAAATTGGGCAGAAAAAGTTGGGGCCAGAAAAGCTGGAGGGAGGGGGGGCGGGGGGGACGTTCAGCTGCCTCAACCAAATGCCCGGTGGAAGAGCTCCGTCTTGCAGGCCCTGCGGAGCTGCAATACGTCCCGCAGGGCCTTGATCTCACACGGGAGCTCATTCCACCAGGCAGGGGCCGGGGCTGAAAAAACCCTGGCCCTGGTCGAGGCTAGCCAGACGTCCCTGGGGCCGGAAACCACTAACAGATGTTGATTTGTGGGCCTCAGCACCCTCTGGGGTTCATATGGGGAGAGGCGGTCTCGTAGGTATGCTGGCCTCTATATTCTGACTTTGTTCACAGTTTGTATTTTGTAACAGCCAATGGCTAATTATAATAAACTAAAATGAAACTACTCTGCCTTGCTGTGAGTCCAGGACCTGGGACTCTCTGCCCAGGACTCAGGCAGAGAAGTATCTTTCCCGACACCCGAGATCCTTGAACTGAAGAAGCGGGGACTAAATTTGAGACTGTCTGCCCGGGACACAGGCAGAGACACATTTCCCCCAGCACCAGCTACCCGAGATCCAGAGACACCGGACTTGAACCTGGGGCCTTCTGCATCTAAAACACCTGCCTGCTGTACCAGTAAGCCACAGACCCTCCCTGTGGTTGCCTGAAAGTATGCCACATTTCCACCAGTGCGTTCAGAAAGCACAGAATCAAGTTGAGAACAAGTAGAGAGACTTTTATGATTACTATAGACAAACGACATAGATTCAACAAAGCTGTTAGAGGAGTTACAAAGAAATGTACATTGATTCATACTAGGGCTGCCAAGTCCCCCCGGGGGGCGGAAATCCCCCCGCCCCAGAGGCCCGTTCCCCAATGCCGGGGAATCGGGCCCCGGGGGGAACCCCGCCCCAGCGTGCACGTCACAGGGAAGTGACGTCATGACGCCGGGCACGCTGGGGGCGGGGCCACGGCCATACAAGGGAAAACTCTATTGGTTTTCCCTTGTATGGTCGTGGCCCCACCCCCAGCGTGTCCGGCATCATGACGTCACTTCCCTGTGATGTGCATGCGGTGCGCGCACGCACGCACCAGGATCCGCACGGGAGTCCCCCGCCGGCAAGGTAAGTGCCACTTGGCAACCCTAATTAATACTCAAAATTTGTATTATTTATTTATTTATT